TATGCCGACCAAATCCTAAGCATTTGGTTTGGATAGGTGAGCCCGTTCTTGAGTTATGGAATTACAACGAAAAGTGGCATTGATTTTTATATATATAGATTGGGAATTTTCCGTTAACTTTAAATATTAGTTCTTTCCCATGGGATTTGGTTGCACGCTTGCACGCTGGAATAAACATAAGGCTCGAAGCAATACACTACGACTGACCGCTTCTTTGCTCTCCTGGCTGGCTTAGGATCTACGTGAGATGCCTTGAAATCAGTGGTTAGATGTTTAGAATCTATGTAGAGTATCTAAACATCTAGGATACCACGCACTACGCTTGTTTAAACACTTAAGTAAGTACCTGATTTCATATCTATCACATTATTGTTACCTACTTTAGGGGTCATCCATACGTCATTTATATCACACGAATTTCATGATGTTTTTAGCCCCTCCACCGTCCTTGTCACAGATAGTCACATTTGTGAGACTTCCCCCCCCCCCTTTTTTTTTGTAAGGGGGAGAAAATCATCGAATGACTGCTCCCGCCTGGGTGAGGCGGCAGGGAGTGTCAGACTCTTACTAACTAAAAACCACCCCGTTCCTTCTCCTGCACGTCGAGCCGGAGCCCCGGTAACCCGTTAAGTTCTCCGCGACTCCCCCCCCCCTAGTGTGACGTCACATTTTACAGAATTACAGTAGGTATAGAAACTTTTGTTATTTTTATTTCCACTTAACTCGTCGAGTACCGGTTTTGCAGACACAATTATAGAACAATAGGTTGCGGTCACCGGTGACCGCTTGGTATTTGACAGTTTAAATTACTTTAGAAAAAATAAATAAAAAACATTAATACAATTATATCACGCATTTTAACACAGATTATACTACCTACTTTTTGAAATGTGACATCACACCTATGTCGGCCTATGTCGGCACTACAAATAGGGTGGAAAAGAATCAAATTAAACCAATTTTCTTGAAGTTCAATGTCCATTTTATGTAAATCCATCCATTTATCCACCAGCCAAAATTGATAATGCAGTTACGGTACCTAATATGACTTGGTAGTAGTCCTTTTAAAAACGACCGGATTTTAATTCCGCACGAATTTGCCGGCTCGACCGGAGTAATACCACGACCTCACAGAAAACCGACGTGAAACAACGCTTGCGTTGTGTTTCGTCGTGTGAGTGAGGTTACCGGAGGCCCAATTACCCCCTTCCCCAGTCTCCCCAATCCCCGAATCCCCCACAATCCTCAAACTCCTAATTTCCAAAAGGCTGGTAACGCACTTGTAACGCCTCTGGTGTTCTAGGTATCCATGGGCGACGCCGATTGCTTAGAATCAGGTGATCCGTCTGCTCGTTTACTGGCTTATCTCATAAAAAAAGACCACAACTAAAAACCAGCTATTTCAAGTCTGCAAATAAAGTATTCTACGCAGTAAACGTCAAACACAACGACCTCGTGATCCCCGCAGACCAGTAATCCATTTCTAAATAAAATATCTCGTCATAAAAGGTTCTGCTTGTGCAGTATTCAAGAAGTGCAGGTGGTCGACTGCCAAAGTGCCGTCGGCAAGTGACAATCCAATTTTGTTCAGACACAGACCTCCCCCGAGGGGGCTGGATACAACCTCCTCAGTAAACATTGACTACAGTGTTACCAACACAAAATAAATGAAATTCTCAGTTCTCTACGAGATATAAATGCACGGAGTTATTTTTGAGTGGTCGTCTTTTGTTTGGTTTTTAGTCATGAAAGTGTTCTGTTTTTAAAATAAATTATTTATTGTAGGTGCCAGTTTTTGAAGTAGATAAGATGGATAGACTACTTACTCTAATTGCCAATAGGCCTATTTGAGTAGATTACCTACCTTCATAATACCTAGTCAACATAAAACCATCACGCTTTTTATCCCCAAAGGGTAAGCAGAGGTGCACATTATGGCACTTGATGCCACTTTGCAATTTAGCACCCACTTTTACCATTTATGTTATGAGTCCCATGTAATAGGGGGTGAGCCTATTGTCATATAACGATCACATTTACTCCATCCAGACTACGTGCTACTATTGAGATTTTTTTTAAATCCCAATAATATACAGCCCGACTCAGGAATCGAACCCGAGACCTCTTTGCCCGGTAGTCGCTCTTGCGAGTACTCGACCAATATGGCAGTCACCTATTTCTACCTATTTCATAACTCGCAAGACCCACGTGTATGGGTTGAAGCATTTTATAGCCGTGTACTGACTGACCTAGTCTCGAGGCAAATGCTGAACCAGGCACGATGTCCCTCGCCCGAGGCAACCGCACGAGCATGTCGCGGACCGAACCGAGCGTTGTGGGTCTTTTGTTTTGTCAACTGTTTTCAAAGGCTGCCTCGATCCATGAATTCCAAAAACACATTGAGGATCCCTCGCGGTGCGATCGTCCCGCGGCAATCACCTGAAGCTGCTCGTCCAGTCAGTATACACGGCTTATCTACATTGTTTATGAGAGAATAGGAGATAGGTACGGTACCCTACATTCTCAAACTAATTAAGTACTCTATCCTGCAGCTGTAGCCAAATGCCATTTAGCGCTTATCTACATGTAGAATAGAAAACCAAATTATATTGAATTGGCGTAAATTTTGACACTTGTCAGTGTCATCCCCATACATTTTGATTTCTACCCTCTCTGTAGACACGCGCTAAAGTGGCGTTTGGCTAAAGGCACTGGTCATATGAACATTCCCGTTAAAAGGGCCAAGTGCCGAGTCACCACTTAGGCTTTTTAATGTAGGTATCTCAAGTTTTAATACTACCTACCTACCTATATCTCCATTTTGCTATCAGAAAAATAAATACAACTAAAAACCATTTATTAAACACTAGTCACACATAAATCTAGTTCTTGTCGCCTACGAAGGGCGTGTCATAATGTTCGAAGTACCGGCGCACGCGGCGGTCGCCCTGCTCGCTCGCAAATATAACTTGAGTCAGCTGTTCCACCAGCTCCAGGGTGCTGGTGCTGATGCTAATCTCGTGTGTGAAGCCCAAGAATGAAGAGCGCTCAGTTTCCAACACGTCTGACGTCTTGAAAAAAAGTTTTTTATAATTACCAAACTGAAGATGCAATAGTAATCGATTACAAACCAAAATCTCCTAATCAAAATGTTCTTCTGACAGATTTTGGTTTTTCAGCAGTATATAATGAGTCAATTTTATTTTAATATATAGATGTACAGTTGGTAGTCTGGTCAGCAGCTGTAGCCAAATGCCATTTAGCGCTTGTCTACATGTAGAATAGAAAACCAAATTATATGGAATTGACGTAAATTTTGACACTTGTCAGTGTCATCCCCAAACATTTAGTTTTCTACTCTCTCTGTAGACAAGCGCTAAAGTGGCGTTTGGCTACAGGCACTGGTCTCCATAATTACCAAAGCTTCGAAAGATGGCGTCTAAAATTGGGTATGTCTGGACTCGCTCACTGGTCCAATGAATGGTAGGTACTTTTGATGCCGTCACTAGTTATTATCATTGCTTAAAAACTTAGCATGGCCCTTTGCCTAACCCAGATTCGCTTCCTAAATAAATATCTCCTTGGTCTCAAGTCTCGTATCTGACCGATCGACGAAAATTTTTATCAATATTTATAGGTTTAAGTACTCACCGCCATTGCTAACATAAAGAATAGAAATAAAACTATGCTAGATTTCTTTAACGGTCCAATCATTGCACAAGAATCGTATAAAATAAAAATAACATTATTTCCTCAGAAATTACACATTATATGCGAACAAACATTTGTCAAAAATATGCGCAAGAGTGGATTTTTGACGTTAACGTATCGTATACGTATAAAAATCGTAACAAACAATATATTTTATTACTATTCGATATTGAGAAAATAAATTGAAATCATATTTACATCAAGGCTTACGTAAAAACTGGATACCTGAGTATACAGCTGTATTTTGAAACCCCTTTCGTGTTATCTGTTCTCAGGGTGGAAATTCGTTAAGGTTTTGACTGCACATAGAAAACTGTTGAAGGCAAATTCTCTGCTAACATCGGTCACCGGTGACCCCCATGGCGTTTAATGTGTTAATATCTTTTTTATCTATGACATCAGACATAAATGAAGAGGAAGAGAATCAATTAAAAAACCAGTCAGCTAATTTACTATTGAATTTATTTACAAAAATACTTCATTCAATTGGAATTACAATATGTAGGTAACCGTATTTATACCGTATCCAGCAAATACAACACAAGTGATTTAAGTAATGGAAATTCGAATAGATACCATGAAGCTATTAATATTTAAAGGCCAACATTTAATACAACTCTCGAAAGAAGTGTAATCTATATATATAAAAGAAAGTCGTGTTAGTTACACTATTTATAACTCAAGAACGGCTATATCGATTTGGATGAAAATTGGTGAGGATGTAGCTTAGAACCAGGAGACGGACATAGGATACTTTTTACCCAATACTTATTTTTTACTTTTAACCGAAAATCAAGAACGGGAACGGGAAATATCGGGATTGCGCGTACGAAGTCGCGGGCAGAAGCTAGTTATCTATATATATTTTTATATATATAATTCTGCTGTATGTGTGTATGTCATTGAACTCCTCCTAAACGGCTTGACCGATTTAAATGAATTTTTCTGTACTGCGTTTGAGCGGCGCCCTGGATGGTTTAGATTCACAAATCAGCCCGGCAGATGGTGCTGCAGTCGGTATCTAGGTTATTTATCTATACCTATTATTATATTATATGCAGGACAACGTCTGTCGGGTCCGCTAGTATCCTTACTAATACTATAAATCGGAAAGTGAGTTTGTTTGTTCCGCTTTCACGCCGTAACTACTAAACCGATTGCTTTGAATTTTTACAGACGCAAAGTTGGATTAAATAATAGGGTACTTTTTATCCCGAAAAAATTTGATATTCCCGAGGGAAAACAAAAGTATTGGTATAGATGGCGCTGTGTGTATTGGTATATGTCAGGCTACTTTTTATCCTTTTGTGACGCGAGCGAAGCCGCGGATAAAGGCTAGTATATATATAAAAATGAAACCCGTTTCCTGTTGTCACGCCATAAGTTGAGCACGGCTAGACCGATTTGGCTGATCTTTTTTATGTTTATTATTGTCAGGAGAAGGTTCTTATGACAGAAAAAAGTCCTGAAAATCCTACGGGCACGGAAGAAAACGAGATTGCGCGTACGAAGTCGCGGGCAGAAGCTAGTTCCTAATGTTTATCAAACCTTAAATGAGGTGCCCAAATAATATCAGCAACTGAACATATCAATATCATGATAATTAAAACATATTTCATTGTATAATTCACAGAACTATTTCTTAGCAAAAATATAATAAATATTATAACAAATTAAGTATCAGCCCTCGACAGTAAGCAACGTGTTTGCATATTGGAATTCTGGACTGTTCTCGTACTCCGACATATCCAGCGCCACCTCACAACTCTCGCGGACAACTGGACGAGGGTCATTCAGATACCTGGAAATGTAGAAAAAAAAGATATAAAATCAATAATAATTTTTGTTACGTAAGTGTTACATTGCGGACTCAATATTACATACATAACATCACGCCTCTTATCATCAAAGGGGTAGGCAGAGGTGCACATTATATCACTGTACAATGTAACACCCACTTTTCACTATTTATGTTATGAGTCCCATGTAATAGGGGGTGAGCCTATTGCCATATACTGGGTACAGTTCCAGACTCCGTGCTACTACTGAGAATTTTTAAAAACCCAGTAATACTTTGCCCGAACCGGGAATCGAACCCGATACCCCTTACCCGGCAGTCGCAATTGCGACCACTCGGCCAACGAGGCAGTCTCAACTTAACTTTAGTATTCTTCCAGCAAATACTTAAGAAATGAATGTGCTGTTTGACGCTAAAAAAACGTGACGTCACAATACACAATCTCGTACATAATTCATAGAAAACTGTCGTTTTTGACAGTTCGAAAAAAGTATTGAATTTGACTAGTCGGCAAGTACCCAATTACCTAACAAATGATAGTATGTTTACCTTTGTAGCACCTCAGTACATTCTTCAGTGGCAATAGAGCCCAGTGCCTCAGCCGCCTCGTGTCTCACCATCTCATGCTCACTGGTATCCTCAAGGGTCTTCTTCAAGAAAGGAACACTCCTCTCATCTTGCATCTGACCAAACACAAATGCTACCTCATGCCTGAAGAGGGCGCTGGATGCTTTGAAACCTGGAAGGAAAATGGAGATAGAATATGAATTAGAAAATGCAATAAAGATTTATGTTTATTTTTGTTGTTTGTAAAAATAATGATAGAAAAAGTTGTTTAGTTACTACAAATACTTAATATAACATAACACAACATCACGCCTTTTATCCCCGAAGGGGTAGGCAGGGGTTACATTGGTACACATTACGGTACTTATTGCCACTGTACAATATAACACCCACTTTTCACAATTTATGTTATGAGTCCCATTTAATAGGGGGTGAGGCTATTGCCATATATCGGGCACAATTCCAGACTCCGTGCTACTATTGATTTATTTTTAAAAACCCAGTAATACTTTGCCCGACCCGGGAATCGAACCCGAGACCCCTTACCCGGCAGTCGCACTTGTGACCACTTGGCCAACGAGAAAGTCTTAATATAGTTATGTTATAACTTTCGTGAGACATACTAAATGAATTATTATGTTTTTCGAGTTACTCACATAATTATTTGACGAGGAACTCGTCTAGTTTCAAGCCATGCTAGAGGCTCATATTCAAGAGCAGCATTCCGCGACACAAGATGCGGCTACAGTCTAATACTTACGTGAGTAAGCGGAAAAACGCTTTAATACTTAATGTTTAAATGCAAAAATGCTTAAATACTCAATACTAAAGTACTAAAGTATTAAGTATAGCGGCCCGTCCCGGCTTCGCACGGGGGGACTTAATATTTTTTATATAGTTTTACGTTTTATTTATATTTATTCTCAGTTTATTATTTTTGAAATAGTAGGTAAGTACTTACCTAATAGGTATCTTTTGGATGAATTAATAGTCTTAATGTAACCGATTGAACAATTCAAAAGTTATCTAGAGCAAACTTTTATAAGGATTGAACCATTCATTAAAACGATTGTTATGGGTAAACTATAAAAGGTAGACATATGCTTTCGCGGACTTTTTTAAAAATAATGTTAAGATGAACAATTCATCTATAGAGCATTTTTGTATAACTTTAACTATATGCTCAGCGCACGCCATGGAAGGCCTCAGAAACTATACTTTTCCCCCGTTTTTAAAACATTTTTGGTTACTGCTCCACAACTATAGGACCTAGCGTAATATTATATAGCCTATGTTACTTCTGAATAATGCAGCTTTCTAATGGTGAAAAAATTATTGCAATCGGTCCAGTAGTTTTTGAGTTTATTCATTACAAACATACAAAAATACAAATCTTTCCTCTTTATAATATTAGTATAGATTTAAGCATTTTGTTTTTGGCTTTAGAGAATTAATTATTTGTCGGTTAATAAACCTTTTGTGCGACTAAATGTGAATCCATGCAAGACACAACATATTTTGTATAGCATCTCATATCTCACATTTAAGCGGTTAAAATAAAACTAGGCATTGCTTCATGGCCTTTTTAAATGGGAGTATTAGAATTTCTGTATATTCTTCAAGTGTTTAAACTGATGAAAATTGTTGGAAATTATCCCCTAAATTTGTTCATACAAAAGTAGTCTCTAAATATTGGAAATAAGGTCTATAATGTAGTTATTGATCACCAGTGACCGCTTGGGGATATATGGGTTAAAACGATTGAATGTTAACTACTACTGCAACATAATTGTTACAACATAGTGTAAGGATATTTAATAATCATTTGAAACTAACCTTCACCCAAAGCATTAATACTCTCAGTGGTGCCCAAATTCCTTAAACTGAACATAGCTCTATATCTCTCAAACAGAGGCTTAGATTCATCCATTAAAGTGTTCTTTAGATTCTCTACATCAATCTCACTGCTCGGTGGAGCAGGATCTATGGATGTGAACAAACTCTTTGACAAATTAACCTCTTTGGTACTGTCATTGGCCACCCAGTTTAGCCGCTGCAATGCTATCTGACAGGTCTCTGCCACTTCAATTGCAGGATCATGCTGGTACTTCTCTAGTAACTCTCTAAGGTTTGGATCTCCTATGGCGCCTAAAGCTTCACCTGTAATGTGTAATAAGAATTATGGAGAATGTTTGTTAAGTGAATAAAAATTAAACATTCAGTAATATACTATGGGAGTAAATTTTGTTTCCGCTTCATAATAATTAAACATTTACAAACACAACAACTTCCAATTAGATTTAAAAAACTCATGAATATGAATATTATTCATAAAACCATAAATTAGAACTTAACTCTTAGAATAGCACTTGTAAATGAGTGCACTTGAACTAAAAACCATGACTCATACAGTAAACCATGCATGCTTTAGCTCACGTACTCATTATCACAGAATTTATCAACATCTTGCATCTTAGAAGATAAGAACAAACCTGCTTCATGGCGAACTATGGGATCCTGGTTTTTGTCCTCTAAAACACTTCTAAGTACAGGTATTGCGCGTTGATCCTGCATTTGACCTAAACAGTAAGCTAATTCATGCTTCAGCAGCACAGATTCATCCACAAAACACTGACTAATGCACTCAATAGCGGTTTCACCGCCTAAGTTTCTTAGAGTAAATAGCGCACGGAAACGCTCCTTCATTGGCCTTGAAGGATCATTGAGGACCTTCCCAATGCTCTTTAAAGCCGACTCACTAGCTTTTGCCATTCTCTATTGCGAATAAATAACAAAAAAATAAGAAAGAGTATCAAATACTATAAGCAACAACATGCCAAATGCCAATTGGCAACATGCGGTTGTGACAGTTGACAGCTAATCATGATCTGTCACTTTACTGTCATTGTCACTTGTTTGGATAGCTTTCCAAAATGACGTTAATTTTCCTTTAAAGTATAATGTCAAAAAGCCTACAATTTTATTTAAAGTACCGAATGCGAGTTCTATTTTTCTTTAGTATCCTTAACCCATTCTAGATAAACGTTATATAACAAAACTAATTTAAGTATGTTATTAAGTTGAGTATTTATTATCTTCATTTTAATTATTCTTACTAGGAATTAAGAACATAACGTAACCTTCACACCTTTTATCTCCAAAGGGTAGGCAGAGGTGCACATTATGGCACTTAATGCCACTATTCAATGTAACATCCACTTTTCATTATTTATGTAATGAGTCCCATATAATAGGGGGTGAGTCTATTGCCATAATATATATATACCGGGCACATTTTTAGACTCCATGCTACTACTGAGATTTTTTGTAAAAACCCAGTAATACTTTGCCTGACCCGAGAATCGAACCCAAGATCCCAAGGTCGCACTGACGACCACTTTTCTCATCACTTGATGAATGTATCCGAAAATAAATTTTAATGTGACCAATCGTAAATAAAAATATCTCGCCAATCACAAAATGAACGGATTTCAAATTCACATTTTTAAAAAACACGCGTATAAATCAGTCTAGTACCCAACAAACAACGTTTAGATTAAATTTTTACTACTATACAACATATTTATTGTTTTAAATAAATAAAATACTAAATACAATAAATATTGAAGTTGTCTAATCATAAATAATATTACTGTTACTTTATTTCAAGTTTTTGACCATATTATACGGAATACACAGGCGTGGATACAAGTTTATTGATTGTGCACTCGTAACTTTTTGCAGTATTTACAAGGAAGGTGTGCAAAATCAGCAGACGAAAGGCTAGTCTGTTTTAGCGACTATTGATGAAAGAAATCTATATAAAGATTATCTCAGATTGAGTCAAACAATCAGTCGATCGCGGTCCTTCAGTCGTTGCTCATGCGTCAAAGTTAAAAACAAATAAATATTACGTATTTCGACCAGAAAACTGTAGACCATCGATTGAATATAGGTATTTTTTTAATTTATTTTTTTTAATTAACATTTATTGTGTAAGTACCTAATCATTATTATGTGCGTGACATTGTTTTTTTATCGCAAAAAGTGTTAAACTAAATACTGCTTGAACCTTGAACAGAACTAATAATATTTGAATGCTATTCTTTATGGATATTACTAACATTATTATTTTTATATTCGCCTTTTGTGTACCGTCTACTGCGCCATAATAATTTGACATTGGCAGCACCTTTACCTCATTGTTATTAGGTCGGTTTTATTAAAGTTTTACTTAGTATTTTGCTGACTGTACTTATTTATTATAATAAGTAGGTATAACTATGTATTCGTCTCGTGATATTGTATATTACTTTTATTGATTTAATTAAAGTGGGACGTGAATAGCACATATTTATATTCTTTTTTTAAACATGTAAATATTATAGGTAAACATTACATAACAAAGAGGATATTAATTACTTTTCAATGTGGGTCTTATAAAAATAAAATCTAAGCAACTGAATATTTACGTACCTATTATTTATTATCGCACAATTTGTCAATAGAACAATGGATACTAGTCGCCATCTACCAGTATTATCGGCATTCCTTCTCATACCCATGTATTAGTCTCTACACATTGGTAGAAATAACTACGCAATTAATAACGTAGGTAGGTGACTGAATGACCCATATTTGCTTTAATCATTTTATTTACTCTTCTAGCTCACATCAAATCGATAACAAACCACATTTAATCAATAAACGAAAGAAAGTAATGCATTCAACGACTAGAAGAATAACCTCTTTTTCGTCTTTGGCTGAATGCACTAAAAAATAGTGCAGTCAAAAAAAAACTACTCACTCATTACAACAAGGCAAAGGAAACAAGACATCCAGCCAGTTGTTTTGACAATCGCAAGAATAAAAATAAAAAGAATTCAAAAATATTTTTACTACCTATAATTTGTTTTGTAAGAATTAACCATGGACCGCACGCCAACTGTTTATCCCTTCCCAGAACACCTGATAAATCCAAGAAAGGAGTACCGAAGACCTGTGAGGCAAAGGCTTCTCCGTTCAATATCTGAAAACATGGGCGTTGGGGACTTAATCAAACGATGGTGGTGGGGCGGAGACCCTGATGAGAGAAACAAAGTATCTGGCATGTCACTGAGAGATGTGTACAATGTGCAAAAATCTTGGGCTATCATAAATGCAAACTCCAACGGAAACGGATTCCTGATGTTTTTTAGGTAAAGTATGGACTTTTTTATTATTACAATTCACTAGTCACGGTATATGTTTAAATTATTTAATTTTAACAAGTTACACTGTCAAGTTACATGATTTCAATTAGGTACATGCGTATTCGTAAAGTCTTTATTATGACTGGTACGTAATGGCGGACAAAAACGCGCCAAAATACAATTGTAATTTTTTGTCGTTTTAAAAAATCATTGGTAATGTGCTCATACGACGCAGTTTTCAATCAGTCTGGCTATAATTATGTAATTTAAATAGACATGGGCCGCCGGTGTTGTGTGTCTAGTTAAATAATTATTAACACATGAGTTTATTACTACATTACTAGACGTAGACGTCATGGAGTCATGGCAGTATTGTTGATGCTAAAATGTGATTTAGAAAAATTAAGAATAGGTACAATTATAAAATATTTATTTCCTTAGTACCTACTTAGTTCAATATTTTTTATACTAATTTAATTTATTCTTGTGACCGTTAGATGTTGTGACGTTGAAAAAGAGAACCTGAGAACCTAGATTTTTTGCTTTTGTTTTTTTTTTAGAGGTAGATACTCGAAGGAGGTTCCATAATAATCCATCTCGCTGAAATACATAACTGCATAACTATTACTGGCCATTTTCATTTAAAAAAATATATAGGAAGCTATTTTGTTTTTATTTTTGAAACCTAAGCCAGCAAGGAAGTCACGGAGAACCTAATGGCTTACCGGGGCTCCGCCCGGTTCGAAGCGCAGGAGAAGGAACGGAGTGGTTTTTAGTCAGTAAGAGTCTGACACTCCCTCCCGTCTTATCCAGACGGGAGCAGCCATTCGATGACTTTCCCCCCTTAAAAAAAGCCAGCAAGGTAGTTTATTATAAAAGAAAAATTCTGAATTACAACACTTTAACAACAATTTTCAACTCTTACAATCACTTACACAGGCTCTTCGAAGCAGAACCAGAAACGAAGACATTTTTCAAGAACTTGGCCCACATCCATACTGAAGCAGAAATGACGGCAAACGTTAGTTTTAGGGCGCATATCATCAACATTATGTCTTCCTTTGACAATTCGATTAAGAATCTGGACAAACCCGAGCTGGTGGTAGCGTGGATGCAGAAACTTGGTGACTCGCATCGAAGACATCGCATTGAGAAAAGACATTTCCATGTAAGTTCATGATTCGATTCCAAACATAGAGCACATTCACGCATTGATATCAAAGAGCGTTAGTTTATTTTACGTTTAGTGTTAGTTTATTTTACGTTTAACGAGACCGCATTCAATGCTCTGATTGGCCGGTTCCAATGAACCAACCATTTAGAGCGGCGAACGTGATCTCGTTACGATATCGTTAAACGTAAAACATATTCGTACTAAGCCCTCAGTATGTTCCTACCTTATATCTATGTGAAATATTTTTATAATGCTCCGATACTTCTCAAGGGAATATAAATATGTACCTAGGTACATGCTGAACACTAATTTCCTTTCATAGTTTTGACTATAAGTCGTTTATCAATAGTGTTGCGTCGATTCAAGTACCTGTATGTGAACTTGAATGTTTGTAAACGCACTCAGGACATAGGAGAAAATCCTTGTGTGGGGCAAAGCATCTCTTTTCAAAGAAAAAAAAGATGTTTGGACACATTTCCAAACTTCGTAAATTAAAAATCAGAACGTTATTTTCATAATTCAGTTTATGAATAATTATCGAAAGTTCTATTTATTTCTGTTCTATTTTTATGATTCAAGTGTTGCATTGCAATTTTGATATATTCCTAGACTTCGCCTATCAATACCCACCCATAGAATGCATAGGAGTCGATTTCGGTCGATTTTTAATTGTGACCGTCTTCAGGGAGGCAGTATAATAAAATCCATGACTGTGGTGAACTAATATAGTTTGTCTATGGTACATTTTATAAAAAAAAACTATTATTTGTCTACAGGTATTCAAAGACGTGCTGGTAACCATACTACAGAAAGATTTGAAACTGGAACCTCAAGTAGTAGAATCTTGGGATAGGTACGTCGAGTTTATATACGAACATTTACTTTCTAGATTGGCGTCATAAAATAAATTAAAAAATGAAAATGCATAGCGCAGTGGTTAAATTTCATCGGCTACCTACGCTAATTTTTGTGGAGTTTTATTTCTATAGATAAGCAAATAACGGCGAGTTTCGATTGCCTATGGTAAAATTGGATGCTAGAGATAACATTATGATAGAAACTTCTTATAAGATATGTAAATAGGTATTATAGGGACCGATTTTTCAATCGACAGATTAAATAATTCTTAACTGTAGAATGAAATTGGCATTTGACAGTTTTTATAGTTAACTAGCGACCCGCCCCGGCTTCGCACGGGTGCAATATGTATATACATACAAACCTTCCTTAAGATATATAGTGATTACTCTATCTATTAAAAAAACCGCATCAAAATCCGTTGCGTAGTTTTAAAGATCTAAGCATACATACGGACATACAGCGAAAGCGACTTTGTTTTATACTATGTATTGATGTATTGAAAAAGTTGATAAAATTTAACTAGCATTGTAAAAGTCGGCCCTAACGACCAGTCTGAATATCTTACTTGTCGTCTTGTTTAGAAGTAGAATTTCGACACATTTTCACTCACAATTAATGGACGCTCTCAACCCTAAATTAGATTTCGATTTTTCAATCATCAACGACTTTTTAATTTTTAAATATAGAATAAAATTAACATTTGCAAGTTTTTGGTATAGAAGAATTAACTAAAATCGCGGGTTACTCACGTGAATATACTGAGAAAAGTTCTACTAGTTTCAAACCACAGAGGGGTTCTTCCTCATGAGAGGCGTGCGCGGTCGCGGCGATGTCGCGCAACTCACTATAGAAGAATTGTCAAATATTCACAGTTATCCCTCAGTTAGAATTTATCTGGCGTTGGATAAATCGGCCCTTAGAACAGTTATACGAAGTTTCTATCAAAAACTTGATCGATCTCATTTTTTATTGATACCGGTAATTTATTTTGATAGTTAGTCTGAAAATCATGTCAAAATTCTCTTTTACTGATTGAGAAATTGAGGCTAGCCGTTAAAATGTCAATAATATTTTCTTATAGTGTTGTATATCCGTAAGCAATAAATAAGTGATGTATTTTTAACAGGAAAAATAAAAATGTCGAGTGTTTTAAATAATTATTTTAATATGATTATTATAACTACTTACATATGAATGAATAAAATAAAATATGAATTTAAGTTGTAATATTTATGGTGTAAAACATATTTAATGTGATAGTTTAGCTCTCAGGGCTGATTTTTCAATCAACAGTTAATTCGCTTAACTTTAGAATAAAATTGACATTTGACCATTTTTGGTAATGGAAGAAAAAAAAATATTTAAAATTATTCCTTCCATAAGATATGTTTGGCGTAGGAAAATCGACCCTAAGGCAACAATTTTAAAGGTAATTTTTATAAAAATGCATTTTAAGTGTTATTTTATGACGTCGCAGTATTATCTGAAGTGTACAATAACATTATTATATTTAAAAAAATAAAATCGTAATAAAAAAACAATGTCTTTCATTACACCTCCTCTAATTTATAAGTGACCTATCTTTGAATTGATTCCAAAGAGCTTGAGATCATCAAAAATGGTCTAATAGTTAATAAGTTCATAAAAAATACGCATTTACTGATGTGTCTATTGCCATGCAAGATTTCCAAGCTCTACAACGAGTGAGAATTTTCAAAAATCACTTAATACTGCTTTATTGTACGATTTTCATGGCATGTATTGTGCACATGTTTTGTTGGAGATCCTATATAATGAAATAAAAATAAAATTTATTTGACGGATACAGGATAGGGTTGGAATAATAAATAAC